AAAAGAAAATGCATGCATGTCGATGATGAGGTAATCTTACGAGTATTAATATCCGTTTTATGCTATCTTACGGATATTAATCTTACAAATTTTGTTTTTGCGTTGCTTTTCAAATAATGCAATTTTTTTTGTTAGAAACATTTTTTAAATTTGAAAATATATGTTTATATGAATTAAATATTCTTGGATTTGACTTCCTATAATTTTATAATTGTAGATGCGAAATATTTAGTCTTTGTTTTAAAATAATTAGCTTATAGGTTTTACGACAAGTTTTTTTCTTCGCGATAGACGGAAACGTCAGAGAAATAAAAAAATGAATAAAACAAAACAAAACCTTAATTTCTAGATATAGATGAATCTCTGCAATTGCATGTAGTTTTAGTGTGTCTATCGCAGTGTAACAATCCATTGTTTATTAGTTCAGCAAGAATGAGTGAGCCACTAATAATAATTTATTGCATATGACTGGTAGAGACACTCTTAATAAAATACTTGCCGTTTGAGTTTTGGCTTTCGGGCAGTAGATTTATTGTTATTTATTGTTATCTTAATTGTAATTATATACAATCCTGAAATAACTTTGTACAAAAGTAAAGGAAAATTATTTATTTGTTGAGTAGATTGTCGCAAAATAAGGAAACTAAACAATTTGCATGCTGACAAAACCGCTAACTGCTTAAACCTTAGGTTGTAGGAAATAGTGGTCGACAAAATATGTTGTTATACCAATACTTTTTTTTTACATTGAAATTAACAGTTTAGAGCAATACAAAAAGTACAAACGTGCTTTCGAATCCTTACGAGGACTCGTTTGTGTTTGAACCCTAAATCGAACCTTTTTGTTATTTAAAAGTTCGTGGCAAAATACATGAGGATGGTGGTCTGCACAGGGAATTCTCTCGTATTTATATTATATATTCGGTAAAGTGGTTGAACTCAATACATTCGGTCCTTTCAATATTAACCGAACCTAGGACGAATTTCCAGTATTTTGCTGTCTTATCGACTCGAACACTGAATCGAGCGGGCTTCATGGGCCATTCTCGTGATTTTCCCTATATGTAACGTATTATGCGAGCCAGTTTCCCTTAGAAAGTTCACCATGAGGGTATCCCTCCTCTTAGGCAGATAGCGCTAGTGTGCTTTGCCATAATGAACTGAACCGAACCGGACTCGAGCACTGCTTTTATCAACTTATCATCTATTGTGATGGAAATTCAGGCATCGAAAAACTATCAGGTTCTTGAAATACTTGATATTTAAAGAGAAGGAGACGTGATTGAAGTACATAAAAGAAAAAAAGACACAAATAATATCTGTATATATGTCAAACGATTTATGTAAAATATGTTAAAAACACTAGATGGCTGTTCCTTACTTTAAGTTCAGGGCTTTGATATGAAAAATTGTTAAAATTTATTCAACTTTAACTCTCGTTTCATAACTCGGCACAGATGTCATGCGTATAATATCAAAATCAACCCAATGAATTTAAGTATGTCGAACATTGCTACAGTAACCCTCTAATTTGAAAATGGCCTTCCGGGGAAGGGTCAATAGAGAAATATTTTAGCGTTTCAAGACATGCTATCTATATGCTAATTCAGGGCCCACCAGTGGTCGAACGCCGAAGTCGCTGAACACTGGTATTTCAGTTCGGGCTTAGAATCTCAATGAATGTGCTAGTTGCATGGGTGTTTTCGTGTAACGTGTATACGAACCTATTTTCTTAGAAAGTCTTCTATGAATCTAAGTATCATCGATTAATAAAATATTATCTCTCAATATAAAAAGTCTCCTCGTACTTGCATTAGAACAAATCATAAGGGAAAACGGATTGGGTTTCAGTGAGTATTCCGAACAGTTGTTAAATTGTTTTATTGTTAAATTATGGTATTTATTTCCCTCTGGCAGGTGAACAACTGGGTGGCTAGTTTGAGGCTTTGATGAAGAAACATATTTAAATATGTACATATATAATATACATTCCCTTTGCGGCTGGCCTAAAACGGGTATTAATTTGACTCGCCATGATAAACAAAATTTGTACTTTTTGCCTTTTGCAAAAAATGCATTTAAAAAAGTAATAGGATTTGTTTACTTCAATACATTCTTTGAAGTTCTAAGCTTTTCCGTTTTCTTTCATTATTCGATGTATTTATCTTTCTGTTGTCTTTACGTGTTCGATATAACACAATTTTTTTCTGTCATTTAAATTTTTTTATGTATTATTGCTTGAAAAATGAGAACAAATTCAAACTTGATGGTAATCCTATAAATAGAAAGCTTTTTTTTCCTCCCCTTGAACCATTTTTTTTTTTTTTTTTTTTTTTGGGATAGAACTGTGAATAGATGTACTGTAAATGAGATCATTCTTTCCCAGAATACCCTCAAACCCAGGAGACTAACTAGCCTTCTATATTATCCTATTAGTGATATTCTTCAAACACGTACGTATCCTGCATGTTTCGACAGTAACGCTTGCTTTTGTTCAAACAAAGCGGAAAAGGGCAAAAATATTTTTTTTACCCATTTTTGTATCTTGCTTTACATATATGATTAATATACGTAGAGAAGAAATGTACATCTTGTTCTTTTCCGTCATTTTTTAAGCACGATGAAATTGGCTTATTGTCACATTCTTTGAAATGAGCTTTAAGCGCTCTGAGAAAAGATGTCTTGTTTTGAAATGCTAAATAAAAAGTGAGTTAAAAAATGTAGCCTTTGTTGTATGGTGGTTTATGCTGCACGCTTCTTTTTCAAACCTTTCCACTGATCTACGCTGAATGGCGGTTTTAAACCTTTTAGTTTCTGGGATACCTCATTTTTAGAATACTAATCTACGCATAAAAAATTCAAAGAATTTTTTTTTTTTTTTTTTTTTTTGTTTCGTATCGAAACCGCTGTTTTGATTACCAATACCCACAACAGATAGCTTCCAACATTTATCTAATTTTCCTTCTCTAAGTTTCTTCTTGTTATAATTTTTTTAGTTGTTTAGAAGTTGTTTATTTCTTTGACAACCATAAGCAGGGCTAAACTGTTTTAAACGAACTGATTTTGCTTTGCTTTAATATTTTAGCATAGGTTTATCGTGTGTCATATGTACATTGCCATTACAGATTTAAATAATTCATACTCATTTCATTCCAGAATCTGAGGTTAATTCTAATGCGACTAATGAAATTGCAAAAACCGTCATTATGACTAGAACACCAAAATCATGCTATACGTATGTTTGGCATTTCTATTTTGCAAAAATTTTCTGATGCTTAAAATGAATTAGAAATATTTGTATTTGTGTATGAATTTATTTTTCCTTTTATAATGGACACAACATGATTATATTTATCAGCATTATTTCAGCTAATGTATGATGTCATCCAGCAGCTGAGGACGTTTCGCGCTGTTGGAGCAATTTTCCATTTGTAGTCACCGAAGTACCTGCCTCAAGCATTATTGATTGGTATATGTCGCTTGTACGGACTATTTTGCACATTTAGCTCTAATTATCCATGTATTGCGAACTGGTCCAATTAGCTGACAAGGACTAATAATGTAATCCGTGATTCAAATATCTATCCGATTTCGAGCTATGTTGCATCTCGAGATATAAACAGTCGAATGCTCGAGCAGCATTTGTATTGGTAATCTACTAAATAATGTCAAGTCTTACATGTAGAAAATTTACTAGCTTAATATTGAGTAACTCCATATTCAGCGATCTTGTAAAGATATTTTCTTTTTTGTTTGACTTTTATAAATGCGATGTAGAATTTGAAATATTTCCACTTTTTTTTTCTTTCTATGTAATGCTTGGATAATATGCTTCGATCGTATGTGCTCGATACTATGAGAGACAAATTATGTTAATTATTAGTGAAATTATTTAGTGAAAATGAGATGTTGTTTTATCCATTATCCATCCTTTTATTATCGTATTATATGCATAAAAATTACATTTCATTCTTGTTTATATCAACAAATGACAATATAAAGTGCAATCTCATGCAACACTAATAATACATTTAATGTTCCTTAAAGTGTTGACAGACCTTGAGATTTTTATCTCTTTTCTTTATGCGGTTGTCCTTAAGCATGTTTAAAGGCATAAAGTGTGCATGTGCAGTTTGCTCATGTACACTTACTGCAGTGTGCATGTGCAGTAAGTGTACATGTGCAGTTTTATTTAAATTTTCTGTGATATTCTGCCGGTAATAATACTAGTGCTATGTTTACAACAATGCAATAGAGTCTTCTATTAAAATGAATTTTATAATCAAATTCTAGAATTGCAATATAGACAGAGTTATGCTATTCTAATTTCTCTTTTCCTGCATGAATCGCTGGGGAGAATTACTTAGTTATTTGTCATATATCGTGGTATACTGATTCAATTAAAAAGACCAGTGTCAAAATTGTTTTTAATTTGTAATTAAACTAGTCAAATATAACCATCTATTTTTAAATAGGCAAAAAAATATGTGCAAGCTTTTAAATTTATACGATAGGTGTTTAAATTAATGAGTTCACGTATATATTGCGATCTTAAAGGGAAAATTTCTAGTTTGGGAAGAACTATTACTTAATACGCTAAAATATGGCTATGTCGTGATTATTGTTTAGGTTTTAATTTTCAGAAAATCAGTCTTTTATAAATTTCTGATGCTCTATACGATTTGCCTTTTCCTGTACAAGTAAGATTGATATCAGTGTCACACTTTTCTCTCTTTCTGCTTTTCTGTTTAAACAGTTTGAAAGACTTAACCGAGATCTGTCTAGAAGAAAATAAAATAAAACTAAAACTTGCCAGTACCGTATATTTTTCATATTAAACGTTTGCTTGGAATCTTTGCATTCAGGCTAAGATTCTTATATGCAAAATCAAATGTAAAGATCTGAATTACATGAATTTGCTAATTATTAGCTATATGTATGTATTTAATTGTTGTAGAGGTCTTTAAAACTTATTTATATATATATTTTTCTCTTTGTAGGGGAGGATGGAGATCAAAATAAGGATAAAAATTCTGATGATCCATCCGAAAATGTGTCAGGAGAAGGTGATGAGCCTGACGATCAGCAAATAGAAAACAATAGTAATTCGACTCATTCAAGTCGGAGTGCAACGCCTGAGCTGCCACCTCCGATAGCTCCACCTGTTCTGCTTCCACCGCCACCACCTCCTCCTCCTCCTCTGAAAGACGAAAGCGAGATGGACTTATTAAATAAAACGCCTATTCCCATTATGGACATATCAAGAAATGCGGTTGCCAACCCCGAGCTTATCCAAACCGCAGAAGAAGAAGAGGAAGATGGGGAGGAGGATGTGGCATCGAGCCTAGCTACCGAAGAAGATGCTCCTCTAGATTTCAGCCTCAAGAGGTCAACTGAGGATGAAAGCACAGACGATGACAGGTCCATGACACCCAATGGCCTTCATCCGCCATCCATATCGCAAGATGGGCCTCTGGACTTGTCTGTGCCTCGTAGACGAAGTAGCAAGAGCATCGATGGTCCGAGACAAGCCAAAATGGCTAAATTGGAGACAGCCCTTTCGATGCCTAGTAGTCCATGGGGTTACAATGCGCCGAAACATTCGCCAAAAGCTTTAGCTAAGACTGCAGCAGAGATCCCGATGTGGAATGGAAAGGTGAAATCAGAAAAGCGAGACAAAAATGCGATTTCTGCTGCTTCATCGAAACCTGTTTCGCTCAATCGATCAACGGTTTACCACCCTCTTTTACACAAAAACACTAGCCCTCCTCTCGACCCTCTCAAAATGGTTGAGGGTCGTAAACACAGCGCCAGCGGGTCTAAAACTGATCCATATAGACCTGCTGGGAGACAAAATCCATGGCAGAGTCAGTGGATGAGCCGCAGCAGTGAACAGACCAGAGACGTTTTCACTTGTGTTTGGTGTAAGGAATCATTTCGAAGCTTGGATGACATGACTGTGCATATGAAACGATCTCCTAGATGTGGAATGGCTGGTATGCAAACCACACTTCCAGCGACTTCACCTACGTCTTCAACCTCTGCACTGAACCACCAGCCACCACCTCACCAATCTCCATTGCCTCCAAAGTGTTCTACATCATCTTCATCTACAGCTGGTCCAGCAGCGAATGCCGTTATCAAGGAAAATGTTTCGCTACCGAGGAAACTCGTCCGAGGGCAAGACGTATGGTTAGGAAAAGGTGCTGAACAGACGAGACAGATACTGAAGTGTATGTGGTGTGGACAGTCTTTCAAAACTTTGGCGGACATGACGACTCATATGAGGGTAACACAACACTATACTAATATTATCAGCCAGGAACAAATCATTTCCTGGCGTACTCCAGAAGATAAGATGGCTGCCCAATCTCAGGTTAATGCCGTGCTCACTTGCAAAGTGTGTGATCAAGCATTTGGTAGTCTGAAAGAACTCAGCTATCATATGGTAAAAAATTCACACTACAAAGAACATATATTACGCTCAATTACAGAAGGAGGAGGTAGGCGTCGTCAAACTCGAGAGCGAAGAAAAAAATCTCTTCCTGTTAGAAAGCTGCTAGAATTAGAGCGAATGGAATTGAACAAACAAAATCCAACGAGTTCTAGTGACCTCTCTAATCAGCCAAAAAATGAGGTAGTAGATGGTAAAATATCATGTGAGGAATGCACTGAAAAAGTGGATGCCAAAGACTTTGTACAACACATTAAGAATTGCGCTCAGGGATCAAGATCTCAGCAATCAGTAAAATCTTCTCCAGGTTCGGAAGGGGCCAAATCAACTAGTGCCAGCGGCGATACAAATCCTGATATTCCAACAACATCGGGAGCCGGAACCGTACCGAGCTCATCCCCTCTTTCAACTCAGGAACTCCCGCCCGATGATGCCAGTAAGAATGTTGGCGGTCAAATCATACAACAAGAGGACAGTATGTGTGATAGTGTGGAAAGTACAGGAAGTACCTCCGTCTTAAATGCAATAGAAAAGTTAATAGAGAAGAGTTTCGAGAGTAAAGGTCGTAGAAATGCTGTTTCTACCGGTATTTTGCAACGTCTAGGCATTGATGAGGAAGTATATCCACCCTGGCATCCATCGAGCTCTCCCAGCGCGTTTGGTGTTCTCCGTAGCACTGTTGATCTTCAAAGGAAATCCACTTCTCCTCTAGGTAGGCTACACGATTTTAAAATGGAGATGGCAGATTTTTCCGGTTCCGAAAGTCGCAGTAGGTCTTCCTCGACCTCAGAAAAGCATCCGAGTTTTGACGATCATTTAAGACTAACTTTCGGGCTGACTGCTAAGGACGTTATGAATCGCGTTTCAACGCCAAGCAGTGCATCTCAGTCTTGCTCACCTGTGCATTTTCAACCAGAATCTCCGGCTGATGATCGGAATCCAGTTTTTATGACCAAAGAGACCACAAATTCGAATGTAGCATCAACATCTCATGGCGTTGTCCCATCAAGAAATTCATCGCCCAAAGATCGTTCAGTTACACCTTCTTCCGATCGTGACAGTACTGACAAAATTGTAGCCAAAGAGAATGAACAGTCAAAAGAAATAACTAGCAAGGAATCGGATGAAGCCAACTGCGAAGAGCGCGAGGACAAATCTGCGATATCTGATGACGAAAAACCTGTCGACTGCAGTCGAGAAGCAACGCCAAAAAGTGAGGACAGACAAACGCCATTATCTAGGAGCTCAAGCTGCGAACCGGAACTTGCTTTATCTACAAGTCCAGCTGCAGCTTCCGCGATTTCTGATTCGCCTGACAAACAATCCAGAAACATTCCCAAGAAAAAGAGAAATTCGGAAATGCATCGAAAGTCTCACTCCTCTAGCAATAAACGTCGTTCATCGCATTCCCATAGGAGGAAAGATGCGGAGATAGGCCATAATGATGGTGGTTGTGACAGCGCTTTAGGTTCTCCAATGTCAGCTCATAGTGAGGTGACTTCTCCTCGTCAGAAGCAGCACACTGACGCTGCTGCTGGTGATCATCCACTGAAAGAACTTCAAAAGTTGTTAGACAAGACAGATGCTCATCTTTCAAGGCCTAGCTTACCGGCCACCCCTGGCTCAATATTAGCATTCAGTTGGGCTTGCAGTGAAGCTACTACTTCGGACTCACTTATGAAGTGTGCCTTTTGTGACACTCACTTCATCTCAAAGGGGGCTTATAGGCACCATCTAAGCAAAATGCACTTCGTCAAAGACGGTAGCTTAGCTGAGATTGCAGCCGCATCAACGTGGAAGCCACCTTCAACCTCAGGAAACAGCAAAATTAGTGCTCCTCCCGGAAGCAGTAATAGCAGCAACGGGTGTGGCGGGGTCGTAACAGCTGGGGGAAGCCGGACAGGAAACAACAGTGGCAACGATCCTGGACATCCAGCATCCCCCCAGAAAGAACTTGTGCCACCCACACCCGTTGATGAGAGCCCTCATTCCAAATTTTTGAAGTACACCGAACTCGCCAAACAGCTCTCGAGCAAATATGTGTGATTATTGAATATGATAGAGAAACATGCGTATAAATATATATATATATATAATTATAAAAACGGTGCCTCCAATAATAATTTGCCAAGTTTTCTTTTTTTATTGGGATCTATTTGTGACCCAGTGATACATAAAAAAACAACTGGTGCTGCTGCCTGGCTGTATACATCCAGTTGATAGATAATAGACATGACACAGACGCACAAAGTCTGCTGGACCTCTTGTACATAGCTATAAATAACACTCTACTATAAATAGCTCTATAAATATATAAATACTTATGTATGACTGAAGTCTATTGTTCTGGTCTCTATCACTGGCAATTATAAATAATAAGTTGAGCAACAAGCACTCAGTTAGGGATACTTTTATTTACTATGCTTTCAGATCTCTATAGAAGATCGGACAGTGTTCCAATCTGTAATTTTTTCTTTTCTCTCTCCAGCATTGACATGTTGGAAGCACATTTTAGCTACCGATTTCATGGTGCAGCTGTTTGAAATTGAGGTCACAGTTTTTTACTTGCCTTAATCGTTCGTAACTGTCACAACATTATAATGAAGTGTTAAAAATTATTTTTATTTAATTAGAAATTGAACGCATAATTGCCAAATTTTCATCTGGAAGATTTTGGTTGCTGAATCTCCCTCCCATGTGTGTGGCGTTTTGTGATTGGTTAGGGCATAGACTCTTTTTGATGTCATTTTTCTTGTGCATCAGATTTTATATGGCAGACTTAATTAGCAAATCACACTTTAGTAATTTATCCACATCTTAAACATTTAAAGTAGTTACAAAACCCCCAAAATGGGATCTGAAAGAAAAATAATTTTAAAAATTTCATATCAAGATCAAACAGACCAAAATCTTTTAATAAAATTTGCCAGTTTTTTAAACAACACATATCTCCATTAATGTTATTAATCATAGCATTGTACATCATTTAAATAGGATTACCTTCATATGAGTTTAATATTTTTTTGTGTAATAAAGGAAGACATGCGATTACTTGTAACATGTTTGAAATTATTTGGTATGAAGTATTTAACTATTATGGAAGGTTTCTGAGATATAATTAAAAAAATATACTATTAATAATAAAATATTAACATAAACTGCGAATTTTCAGTTACACTGAACTAACTTTCCGAATTTAGTGAGAATAATATTACGTCTTTTTTATCTTAACATATGTTAATTTTTATTCATTAAACATATGTTAGTAATTAGCAAGTTTTAACAAATATAATTTTTACTTAAACATTTTATGGGTCCAAAATTTTGAAAAAAATTTTGCAAAAATAAAGCATTTTTATTAGAAACGATCTGAAAATTTCTTTAAAGAAACAGACTGTTTTCTTCTTAATTAAACCGACGAGAGAAAATCTTAAATTGATTTAATTTCTGCTTTTACTCTCAAGTTTTAATACCTTTTAGATGTATAAGCTTATATTGTACAATGCTATGCACAGTGTCAAAATTCGTCCATTTTTCAAATATTTTCATTAATTAATTTTCTTTAAGTGTATGAATTAATACAGATAAGTGAATAACCTTCATTGCTGATATAGCTGAATAATACCTTATATGGTCTGCAAAAAACCTTTAAAAGCTGTTGTTTTTCTAAATTTAATAAGCATATATTAAACAGATTTGAATAGAAATATAAGCTTGCCTGTGAATCAGTGCTAAAAGTTGAAATAAAATGAGACTGTTAATACATTCCTTATGAAGAATTCGAGATAAGATTGTGATTATATTTTTGAATTTTAACTTATGTGATTAACGTCAGTTAGCTCAGGTGTTTGACAATTTGTGAGTTATTTGTTTGCATTTTTATTCTATTTTAGCGTCTTCATTTTGAGAAAGGTTATATGAACAGTAGTTACGAGTTTGTAAGATTAATTGTAAATGGAATTCTATGGAAGTCAATTCTAAAATGCATATAGTAATTGGATTACAATGCTATCTTAATAATTATGTTTTTAAGAATGCAGTCAGGACATTATATATTTTTATTATGTAAATAAAGAAATAGGAAATTAATTAACTTACACTGTATTGTAATATAATTTAAAAACTTTTATTACAAACCTGCCAAAGTTTTTTCTGCAATTCGGAATTGCACTTTGACGGTTGTTGCTTTGTAATAAAATCTTATATCAGTTATTTGCTACTATTTTCAAAATTATATAAATCAACAGAATTGTGATAAGTACTCTGATTTTAAGGCAATGTAAATCAAACAAGCGCCTAGTCAAAGTGTAAATTGACATTGTCCTTTTAGAATCCCTACTTCTGTAGTGTATTATACTCATCACTTATCACCAACTGTAAATCAGTACCATCGGTGTGTATTTTTGTTTCAAATCTTTAAAAATTTCTGCACTGTTCATGCGCCAGTGAGATATCATCCAATATTTCAATTAGACCTATGACTGTACAGCGCGAATAACAAGGAAATGAAGAGACAGAAGATAATGTGATTTTCTCTTTGCACTTAGTGATTCACTTTCTGGTATAACAAGCTACCGGAAAGAAATAACGAAGATGAAGGAAAAAAAAAACTCTTTTTAAACACTCTCAGGATACTACTGTCTTGTGTGTCCCTAAAAAAACCCTACAAGTACTTAACGTTCGAGTATATCCTGGAAGACACCAAAGCCTTCATGTTCTTTATTTTAGTCTGGAGTTTTAAATCATGCGGCAAATTTTTACCTAATGCATTTCTATTAAACTTAATTATTATAAAATACTTTTATATTTTTACATTGAAAAGTTTCCATAAATGTCTGTATGTATCCAGAAAGTGTGGCATAATTTCAGAAATTATTTGAGTTATGATTTATGACCAGAGAATTATACGTACTTCTTAATTGTAGTTATATCCATGTAAAATATATAGTTTATAAGTACTGAGTTATAAGTACTTAAGTTTATAAGTACTGAGCCGATTATTGCCGTTTCAGGTGCACAAGATACATAGAGAGACATAAAGTTAGACTAGCAGCGAATTATCACTAAGTCTAAAACTTTAACGACAGAGAGTTTAGAAGATTTAAATAAACCTTTTTATTAAATTAAGACTTGAACATAAAATGCACTACTTGTGCTCACAGTTCAGCCATTAACTGGCGACGATGTAACTTTAAGTTCAGATTTAAAATAACCTAGTTGTCAAATTATTACACAATTTAATTTAACGCGAAGTTGGCTCACAAATCTAACCGTCGTAGATATTTAAATATCAGCAGTTACAATGCAAGGCCGAAGACTACAAATATTATCTGAGCTAGCATCAACTTAGTAATGTTACCTCGAGAGGCAAGAAACGCTCTATCTTACAATCTAAACACCTCTTTAAATACTTGCGAATTGATTTGTATTCTGGCATACAAACGGAAAGTAGAAGTGACAATAAAGGCCTCAATCATAATAACTGGTTAATTAAAGTCATGAAAACTCTACAAGGTACTAATTATTATATTTCATTATGCATTTTGCGCGCAAGAATATTATACACGAAATTTCTGTTCTGTAAATAACTTTAGAATTTCTGAACAGTAAACCATTATTGTGCTGTGTTTCCAAATTAAGACATCTTAAAATATTTAAAAGTTAATAGGATTGTTTAAGTTTATAAAATAAAACATCGTAATTTATCTGTTTTTCCGAAGAAATATCTGACATAGGATATAAATTATAAGGATCACGTTGACAGAACAGAGAAAGTTCTAGAAGTGGAAAACCTTCAAAATCAGTTTGCATAATGCAGTGTGCTAGTGTTCTGATGATGTAAGGTTTTTCCCATTTTTATCAAATTACTGTGATGAATCATGCAATTTTGTGATCAAAGGTGATTGAAATTTTCCAACTGCTTATAAAGTCTGAATTAAAATTGCAGAATGGTGTAACAATGTTATGGTTATTAAATTACATTCCTTGTTTTTTGTCTTTTACAAAATGCCTTTTAGTAATATAATGTAAATCAGTGAATGAAAATATTGCACAATGAAACTGAGGACGAATATTCTATGCAATTTTTTATACGACGAGAATAAAGTGCTGAATGGCTTTGGTGTTTTCCCATTACGTAAGAAACACCACCTTACCTTAAGTTTTTTGGTGTGTTGCAACCCTATTCTGAGGAGTGCTTCCAATGCATTGTCACATGTATATATGATCATTATTCGTTATGAAATGTACATCTTTATATTGTTATTATTTATTACTAAGGTCTATCATCAACTTTCATACAGGAAGATCTATTAAAGAGGCTGTTTCCCGCTCCTCAGAAAAATTGTCTCTTTGTCATTATTCCGTAACACATTTTCTCACATGAATCATTGTTAAATATCATTTTTATGATCGCTGACATCACTATCATTCGCAATGAGAACTGAAGCTATTGTTTATTATAAATACTTACACGCAACTATTCTCAACAAACATTTAGGAAACGTAATCTTAAAAATAAATTGTATTTGCTTATCGGGTAATTAAAGTTTGTTTATTTTTTTAACTACCATGGTTTTGACAAAATGTAACGAATCAAAAATGTCATGACACGGCAATTTTTATTTACTGAACAATTAAATTTTATTTATTTAAATTTTGATTTAAGCATTCGAATAAAGCAAGCAAGTTAGTATTTTAGTATCTAACATTATTTATTAAAACATTTTCTTATTAAATTAAATATATTTAACATTTCTTTCAAAATAAAATAATTAATGTGTTGTTGGAATTTTTTACAGTGAAGGGCATGATGTACTTGATTTTTACTGTGACTGCATGATTTAGAATATCTCGATATTTTATACATTGCCATATTTCATCGTGCCTGTAAACTAGATATACTTATAAAAGTATGCATATAAATCAAAGTCACAGTAACTTGAATTTCAGATCCATTTGTTATTATATCGAAAATTATTAATAATACTAATTAAGGAATAAAGTATTGAACTTAATACAAAAGGTATTAATTTAGCTTCAAATAATAAACTAACTGAACTATTACACTGAAACAAAAACAGTAATTACCATATAAGCAAGCGCGATCACATGCCATTATTATTTTGAGAAAAACAAAACTGAAAAAAATATCACCGCTTTTTACCCGAGTAACTATTCAATCATAAACATGTAGCAAAATTTATATATAAATCATCTGACAAAATATATTGCTCAAATATATTCCGTGCTGTAAATAATAATATTAATAAAATATCGAAGGCTTAAATAGCAGTCTTTACTGTTATTTAAGCCTTCGATATTGGATTAATATTCCTTCGAGTTCTAGCGCATAACTTGTAGTTCTTACGGATGTGAAACAAAAATCAAAAATCAGTTTGAATACACCAAGAAATATTCCATTTTTAGAATATCTACTGCCGAAGCAAGTACGCATTAAAGACATGTGTCTCAAATTATGCGATATGGTCAAATGAAACAAAAATCCACGATGTACCACACCTGCTTATTGGATGAATATTAAATACCTATTCATGCTCCATATGACGATTAGTTCATACTGAACATAAACTCGCAAACATTTATGCAACTTTATTATTTAAACATTTATGCAACAACATTTATTTAACTGTCTTACTCCTTTGAAGACCAAAACGCCAGAGACAGCCTTTCATTCAAACGACCACTGCCGCCCGAAACGGCCGAGATTGCGATGTTGTTTACTTCCCTCTCCCTAACGTATGCAGTAACAGTTGCAGTTTCCCCAAATGAATTGTATCAGTTTATTGCATACAGCTTCTCCTAAAAGGCTTATGGAAGCTTCTTTGTTTAGAAGTAGAAAGGATATCATTTGAAATCTTCACACCTTTTTGTGCGTTAATGGACAGGGAGGGAAGGAAACGGACCGAACGGGGACGGGCTTTCGATATTTTAAGCATGCAGGTTAGCGAAGGCTTTGGATTTTTAAGGGTTTAGCATGTAGCTTTATTTTCATAAACTCTTATGTATGCTTACAATATATTTAAACGTATATTTACTTTTTTCTCGAATGGAACAATATGGTAGGACATGGTTGCGATAACTAACGTAGTATAGTCAAATCAAATGTTTTAAGTGACCCTAGCTAAACATTATGTACAGTGCGGTAGTGCTGCGAAAGCACTATACGTACATCAGTAATGGCAAAGACCTGATGTCCTGTCACGTTCCGTCTTGTATTCTATTAATATATAAACATTAACTTATGTATAAGTTAAGAGGTATAAAATATAAGTAATTAACCCGTCAAGGAGCCAAAGAAAAACTTCTATTGAGATTTCTGCAGTTCCTACGTTATAAGATTTTTAGTGATTAAATCTTCAACTAATTTCCTCCAAATGCTTGAAATTTCATTAATCACATATCTCATAACGTTTTGAGGTTATATTTAACGCAAGACAGGCATAGGTATAACTGCGGTGGGTCACCAGAATTCATGATTGGTCGTATAGTTGTAGTTCGCCGAACTTGCTGTTAAGTGCCTTTCCAGTTTTAATAGGGAGACTTCGGAGGACGGTCCGAAGGTCGTCCAGCTCTCTTTCCGTAACAGTAAATCACATGAAAGAACTTTGTTTTTTTCTCGCGTGACCCCAGGCCATCCAAATATATACAAACATCCATGCTTTTACCAGGATTCGAAGCCGAACCCAATGATACCAATCAGTCTGGTTAATTCAAGACAGAAAGTCTCCCTTTATTACGCAATATTTAACTTATCCATGCATGCGAAATGCCCCATAATAATGCTATGATTAATTATTACTGAACATTAACATTTTGTCACAAATAAGCAGAGTACTACTATAATACAACAATTTTTTTTTTTTTTTTACTTCCTCTGATTGCAATGGTAGATTTTGAAAAAGGATATCGCACCCTTTCATATACTTTTCTTGTCATATATATATATATAACAAATTTAATATACTTTTATTATCTCGGAATTTAAAAATAATATTGAAGACTCTTTTAAGTTTTTTAAAGAATATATTGCCTGTCAATTCGACACTGTTCATAAAATGTCGAGATTAATTTTTGCTTAAAACTGAAACAAAAATTATGTTTACTAAAGAATGTAAACCTTACAACGTATTTTAACTCACTGTTACAAAAAGGAAAAACACGCTACAAATTTTCCTATTTTTTTTTCAGCAAACAAAATGGAGGAATTAGTAACCTTTTAAAATTATTGAACCATACACATTGGCACGGATGAGTAAAATAACAGGAAAGTTCATAAATGTTTTTAGCAGCGAAAGTTTATAGAAGCATGAAAAAATTTAGTAGGAATTGAACTTGAAATCGAGAATATATCCATCTATTTACATTCATTCTTTCAGTCGTATTTTAAAATTACCTATGGGCTTGAAATTGGGAATGAAAGTTTCCCACTCTAGTATACATATTAAAATCCAATAAATATAATTTAAAGCAAATTTGATCTTAATTTTCATTTTCATCTAACGAAAAAATTCATTAATTTATTAAAAGTATTTTAAATTATAAATTACAGGCCTTTTGGCCGCTATGGTATTCAAATTTAAATTTCATCAAAATGGAATTTTTGAATGACGATTGAGTTATACCTTCACTCAAAAGAGCTTTGATTGCTTTTGTAAACACTTCGAAAGAATAAGTAATTAAAAAAAAAGCCACAAAAGCAAGCGAAGATGAAACATTAATTTTATAAAATGAATCTAAACTTTTTTCTTTTTATAATGAAAATTCTTTCAGTTTTTAATAATTTAACCAAGCATTTTAAAATAATTAATTTATTAATTTTATTATTTGTTAATTAATTAATTATAGCAAAGCACTCAAGGATTGTTTGCCTAAGGGGAAAGATTCTATCACGAAGAAATTTCTGAAGGAAATGGTTCGCTTTTACGTTAGAATACTACGAAAACCACAAATAATATTCAATCGTCGGATGGCTCCTCTTGGAATCGATTTCTGGGATGCCGTGAATCGAGCTACATTATAAATTTAGATAAACGTTTTTCTTAAATTAAGAAAATTGTAATTTGTAAATATTCTTGTCAAAATAGCAATGATATACTAAAGTTGCCATATAAAAGTATCTTCAGTCCATAAAATATATAGTTTGTGTTTCATTGAGTGAATTTATAAATTAGTTATTTAACAAAAACTAAAACAATATACATCTAAAATGTATTCTCATAAAAGCAAGAAATCAAGACATAATATCTGACATTAAAGTTAAGAGCGATATTGTTCCTGTATACAGAAAAAAAAACTATATCTGCCTTTAGGTCTAATCCTGAACAGTGCCTCTTATGAGTTCATTAACCTCATATTAAAATTATTATTGAAATTAAGGCATCACTTTCTGGGGTCTTTTCACTAAAAAAACAGGCAGAATTAAATTGCAATTTTACTTTCTTGAACAAGGAAAATTTTTGGTAATTATGTATTAACGCAAACATATTGGTACAATTTGGTGATTTTTTTAATGGTAAGATAACGATGAAAAGTTAAAAGTTACTTATCGGCTGCAAGTTGGTGGTTTTCGCCACTTTTTTTAAAAAGGGATCTCCAAACTATTGATATTTATTGTACGTTTGCAAACATTATCAACATCTGAAAAGGAAATATACATCTGCAATTTAATATACGAACTTTATTATTAAATAAGTATTATGGGATACATTAAAAATAAAACACTTACATTTTTCTCTAAACCTTTCTGTAATTTTTTTGTGCTATTCCTTTCCCTAGTTACATGGCGATCCATTCTGTATTCCTGAAGAAATTTTATACTGCAGTTTCTTCCATCGCTGGCAAATTCCCCAAGAGCATATTTTAAAATTAAGTTTAAGGCATAAATGGCGACGTTGCTTGGCTGCAGAAAGCATGAAGAGTCGTTATGTGCATGGTTACCAGTTTGGCACATTCGGGAAATTCGGCGATATCTGCTAAAGTAGTCGCGATAATACGTAAATTTCTAATTTTTAAACATTGTAAAGACATTAGGTTATTTCGAAGCAGGAGAGATGAAAAATTAACAACACCTTCGCTGGGACTCGAACCACGGGCCTCTCGAATACGCGTTGAGCGTGCTGACCACTACGAAGGCATGCTAAGAAGGCGGGAGAAATACTTTATATACTTCCCCTCTTTAAAGGGCGACTGGGGATTAGGGAATCCAATCGCCAAATCCTGATGGTGAAAACTCAAAATTCACCACCTTTTCTTTTTAGTTTGGCGCCACTATAGACACATTAGATATTTTTGGAAAGCTAGGTTATTTCGAAACAAGAGAGA